AAAAAAAAAAAAAAAAAAAGAAATAATATAAGTAAAGGGTTTTGTCCAGTGCCTAGCAAGTAATAAACATTCAGTAAATATTAGCTATTGTTATTCTATTGTTATTCTGGTAAAGAAGCTTTTCGGTGATTGAAATTAGATAAAACATGGTTATTTTCTATCTTTAGGGGAGTGAGAGGAAAGCCTTGTTAAATACATCTTTCAAGTTCCCAGTGTTAGCTCTGGGACAGGCAGTGAGGAACCAGTGAGGTTACAGAAAGGGTCAGGGAGACAATGTTCAGGGTTATATAGGCATCACCTTCCCTCTTCAAAGGGGGTGTACCTTCCGTAGTACCTGTATTGGGTGATTTCACACCTATATTCTGAGAGGAAAGCTGAGGATAGCAGAAACAAAATAACCATTTGAGAGATTAAAAAAAAAAAGAAAGAAAAGAAAAACTTCAGTTCTGTGACCGGTAATTTTAAAAGCAAACGAGTAATAACAGTGTTTTTAAAAATCTCACACCACTTCCTGTGGCAACTGTTCCATGCACTTTGATGGCCCAGCTCTGCGTTTGGTCCAGAGCTGTCTGCAGGCTGTCCCAGCCCTGCCTCTCCTGGTCCCCTTACCGTTACTCAACTCTTGCAAGGTGTCCTCGTGCAGAGCCCTCAGTCTCTGAAAAGTCATCGCACAGTCCCGCGTTGATAACAGCTGCAGTTGCATTAGAGATGCACACAGAGTGGACAGCTCAATGGTATGCCTTTGACACATAAAGTAATATAGGACTTTTATAAAGGAAAGAAAAAAATGTCCAGTCGTGATTCCATTGGTCAGATTTCATCGAGACCAAGTTTTCTCCAATTAACCAGATCCTGGCCTGGTGTGGACAGGACCTGGTGAGTCCGGGCGGAGGGTCTGTGCGAGGACGGAGGAAGGAGTGGTGTTTGCGCTGGCACACGAGAGGCGTCGAGGGCCTGGGGATCCCGGCCCGTGCCCCTACCCTGGCCAGGGGCGCGGCCGGGCGGGGCGGGGCGCATGGGCGGGGCGGCGGCGGCTCCTCCCCCGGCGGGCGGGAGGGCGGCGCCGTACGGCGGGCGGCCTCGCGGTGCCTAGGCGCGGGCGGCCGGCCTGGATCGCTCAGTCGCGCGGAGCCGGGCCCAGGAACGCAGGCGGCGGCAGGATGAACAGCATCAAGAACGTGCCGGCGCGGGTGCTGAGCCGAAGGCCTGGCCACAGCCTGGAGGCCGAGCGCGAGCAGTTCGACAAGACCCAGGCGAGCGGCGGGGCGGCGGGCGGGCGGCGCCGTCCACCCTTCCCCTCACACGCGTCCCTCGGGGCCCGGCCTGCGCCCACCTCCAGAGCGCCGGGAGCTCGGGCCTCTCCCCGGACCCCTTGCTCCCCGGCCACCTGGGGCCCCCCGGCCGCATCTCGGCCGCGGCCACCCAGCTCCCCGGCCTTCGCCGCCCGAGCCGACCCGCGCGCAGGTGAACCGGAAGCGCGAGCCGGCGCCCGGGCCCGAGGTGGCGGGGGACCGGGGTGGCAGGGGACTGGGATGCAGCCGGGGACTGAGATGCGACCGGGGGACCAGGTGGCCAGGCGACAGAGGTGTCCAGGGACTGAGAGGCGGCCGGGGACCGAGGTGGCTGGGAGCCGGGGGGAGGGAGGGGCCAGGTGGAGGGAGCCGAGACGCGGCGTGGGGCCAGGTGGGGTCAAGGTGCGTCCCGGGCCCGGGTGCGCCCGGCCGGGGCGGCCCGACTGGATTTCTCCGCCCTGGCCGCGCCGCCTCTCCCGGGCTCCGTCTACTTTTCCCACGGCTTAAAAGAATGCCCCCTCCTCGGAGAAGCAATGCATTTCCTTAAAGGAAACTCCCTGCTTCCTTTTCTCCTGAGCTGTTTTTCAGGGCCGCACAATATCTTGTTATCTGCTGGGCGAAAAGTTTCACGTCTGTAGCCAAACTTGTTTGCCCGAGCGCTGGCCCACGTATAAACAAGTTCACACCCCCTTATTAAATGACGGCGCCTGACAGACAGAAACTTCCTAGGGCTCCCTTCCTGCACTTCCCACGCGCCCGCATCTCTTCCAGAGGGTGGCCTATCCTGGGAGGGTTATTTTAAAAATGAAACAATGACGGGGGTGTGTATTTGTCCATGTGTTCCTG